TTAACTTACCTTCCAATTTCCCACCTTCTTCCCCTTCCCCCATCCCTATCACAAAGAAACAAGCAGTCCGTCTTCCGGGAAAAAACGCGCCACTTCCGCCTCCTTGGTCCCCCGCAATGCCTACCAACTCTTTTGCCACGAGGCGCGTCCGTCGCTGTCGAAGGGCATCAGCGTGGTGGAACAAGCCAAAACCCTGTCCGCGAAATGGAAGGAGGTGGATGAGGAGGCGAGGAGGGAGCTGGGGAGAAGGTTAGAGGCGATGAGGGAGGAGGAGAGGGAGAGGCAGGCGAAGGAGGCCGTGGTCTGAGACGGGAGGGGGGAAGCAAAGCAAAAATCACGCTGTCTCACTCTGTCGACAAGGAAACATCGAATGCCACTGACCGGATCCAAGAGGGAAAAAACGATGCCGGCAACGGGTCACGAGTTCATTTTATTCCCTCCCCTCTGTGATGGGGGCGTGCAAGTCAATAGTCAGCAAGCACCTACTCTATCACCGAGCTAACCTCCTTCCCCTGGCCGACGTCCGTGCCTGTAAGCCCTTTGGGCGGAATCTCGTCCGAAAATTCCCTCTTCCTCCTTCCAACATCCTCTATCCTCCCCCTCCCTCCCCCTTCTACCACTTCTTTTCCCTCTATTTGTGTTTATTTCGGTATGAGAAGAACGCAAAGCCGCCCAAGACCGCCATTCCCAGCGTGATCAACGTATACATCTCCGTCTTTTCGTTCCACCACCCCTCCTTCCCTCCTTCCTTCCCTCCTTCCTTCCCTCCCTTCTTCCCTTTCCTTCTTCCACCCTCGACGGCGCGTGCTTTCCCCCCCCCGGAAGCTCCCGCCCCAGAGGTCGCTCCTGTTAAGGACGCAGGCAGGGAGGAAAAGAGAGAGGAAGCAGGCAGGCCGGTACCGCCTGTAGCAGCCGTGGGGGGGGAAGGCTGTGCTTCTCGGTCCTCTTCAGCCGTCGCCTCTGACGACAACTGGAAGGCCTGAGAGCATGGCGGCAAGGAACAAGGAGGGAAGGAAGAAGGGAAGTGGGAAGGGAAGGAGGAAAGGGCGGGAGGAGGGAAGGAGAGAGAATGGTGTGAAGAATACCCTGTCATGTGCCTGACGCGACCCCCAAGACGCTGCCTCCCTCCCTCTCCCATTCCGCTTTTCTGCTCTTCCCCCTTCCCACCCACGCCCCTC